TAATTGGAATTACATCAGCACTAGTTGGGCTGCTGTATGAAGCACCTAGCACAAGAGTGAGTGTGAAATCAGCAGTACTCTTTCCTAATGTGTTAGTGATTATTTTAACTCCATAAGTTTGGCCTGTCCTTCTGCTATCTGGTTTGTTCTCCTTTGGGTGCTGGGTTGAAGTGAGAATCTTAGGGTTGCCCTGTGGCTTTTTCATGCTAGATGGTGAAAAGGACTTTAAGGCTGCTCATCGTCTCTTTTTTAAAAGTGAGTTTTGTTTAGAAAAATACATATATATGAAAATGTCATGGTGAGGCCCTTGTGTGCTAACTTGAAACTTAATAATAAAAAAAAGGTAAGACTTGTTTTTACTTAAAGTTAGCCTGTTACTTTGCTAGGGTGAGAAACCAGAACACAACAAAATAAATCTCTGTTCATAATCCTTCCAACATGGAGGTGTGTAGTGTTTGCCTATCTAATTTTAGATGGAAAGTAAAGCCATAGAAACAGCCACATATCTCACCCACTTAATTTATTGATGTTCATTGGAATACACACTTAACAACAGGTGGATTTTATAGTTGTAAATTGTATTCCAGTAAAGCTGTGTGGAAAGGATTGTAGTAACTCTTCTTTGGGTGATGAAGTAACTCGAAGTGATACTGTAGAGCCTGGTCTGTGCCCTTAGCTCTTGAGAGCAAAATCGTGGGGATGTTGTTGATAGTTTAAGATCTTATTAGTAATGCAGCTTGTCTGGAGGCCCCATTTACTTCCCAGTACATGTCTTCCTACCTAAAGTGCTTTAGACACCAGAACACCAACAAAAAGGGAGAAGGGGCTTATGTCATGGGGAAGAATATGTCATGGGCTCTTGTTTCCAAAAGAAGATGTTCTTGGAAGTAACTAAAGGGAAGACTTTCCTCTTTGTTTCCTTTTTCTGTCTTTGTATTTGTGTGTATGTATGCATATGAACCCACGTGTGTGGAGATCAGAAGACAACTTGCAAGAGTGGGTTCTCTTCTTCTACCATGTGGGTTCCAGGGATTGATTGAACTAAGCTCATCATCTGGCTTGGTGGCTAGTGCCTTTACCTGCTGAGCTATAACTTCTAACCCAGGGTGACACTGGAAGAGGCTGTGAGGGTCAGGAATGGCCTGGTTAATGCCACTGTTGTTTCAGAAGAAGCACCCCTTTTATGAGGGTGGGAGTGGAGATGTTAATTTAAGATTGCCATTTCTTAAGTTGTCTCTGGCTAGAGCTAAAGATAACAGTAACTACCGATCATTGACACTCATATCCCTTCATTCCTCTGTTTGGAGTACGTGTGTGTGTGTGTGTTATTTCCTGATGGTTGCAGAAACAAGGCACTTCCTCATCTGGCTTTCCCACCATGCTAGTTATTTTTTAGAGAGCAGGTAGTGGAGTGGGAAGGCACAGCACTATTGGGCTAGTTTTGTTAAGTGATTTTTTTTTTTTTTGCTAGTTAATGCTAATAAATACATTTACGATAGTGTAAAGATTACTTAAGTATATTTAATCATTAATGAAATACATTTTAGTCATTAACAAAGTCACTTTGTTTATTGTTTATCCTAATGTGCAGTTTGTATGGTGGCCAGGAACTTCTTTGTGTATATGATATATTGTTGCTGGAGTTTCTTTCCAGCCTAGTCCTGCAGCCGATTAGCCCCAAATAAACACACAGATGCTATATTAATTATAAACTGTTGGCTCATGGCTAGGACTTCTTACTGGCTAGCTCTCTCTTAATTATTAATCCATAACTACTGATCTATGTATTTTGACATGGCCTTATCTTACCAGAGAACACCTGGCGCATCCTATCTTCCCAGTCTCTACATGGCATCTCTCTCTGGTAGCCTCTCTGCCTCCTCTCCCCAAAATTCTCCTCGTCTCATAGCCTCGCCTTTACTTCCTGCCTGGCTAGCAGCCAATCAGTGTTTTATTCACCAACCAATAAGAGAAACATATATACAGAAGGACATCTCCCATCAGTGTATAATCACAGTGTCAGAATTGTTTACACAAATTATAGGAAGCAGATTAAGGAAGTCCTACATTCCTCAGATATTTCTTGCCTTGCTGTGGTCAAAAAGGTGTATATCAGGTAGGATCTGTGGACCTTGAGATAGTCCTTTTATTTCTTAATTAGAATTTGGTAAGACCCCTCTAATGAGAAATGTCACAGTTACTTTAATTTGGTATGCCAGGAGCCACAGTATATGTTCCTGAGGAGCTGTGATTAAAACTCCCTGAGTGAACATAGTTGAGAGTTGTATCTGCCTTGAGAGGATGAGGTGACCTAGATTGTTTCTGGATGAGAGAATTCCTTATCTTTGCATATGTTGCTCGTTGGAAGCAGGTGACCAAATGCAGCTGCCTATAACTTTCTGGTGTGCTCTTTCCCTAGATATTTCTCCTCTTTGTCACAACCTCTTCGCCCTGTACAATGAGAGCACCAAGCTCTGGTATGCTCCGAACCACACCATCACTGTGGACGACAAGATGTCTCTCCGGCTGCACTACCGCATGAGGTACAGCACACAGATCTGGTGCCAGCCAGTTTCTTCATGTAGCCTGGCAGTGTTTGGCCGGGAGCCCTGAGTCACTAGGAAGAAGTACTGTAGTCACCAGAGTTTGTAACTTTTGTATTTGCTTGTTATGAGAAAGGACATCTTCCATTTTGGAGTGTGGTGAATTTAATCACCTCAGTCACATTTTATAAACATGATACAAAGAGTGTTTGGATAGAATCCAAGCCCTCTAGCAAAGTTTTCCACATGATGAGTCTTGATTATAAGTTTAACATAGTTGGTTATAACCAGAACTTGGAAAAAATAGAGGGAAAGAAATAAGAAACCATATGTAGATATGTATCTCCTAAGTTCATTGTATTTTAAAACCTATGAGGTAATACATACATATACATATATATATGTGTATATATATATATATATATATGTGTGTGTGTATATATATATATGTATGTATGTATGTATGTATGTATGTGTGTGTGTGTGTGTGTGTGTGTGCTGTATTATAAAATATATTTTCTACTAAAGGTTGTGGCTAAGAAGCATTCTGTATACTACCTGAAGAGGTAACAAGAATAAATTCTCAGTCTTAAACTCTCTGGGAGTGATTGCTGTGATCCTCTGAGGACTCTTGGTGCTCCTGGTTTTATGCTTTTTGTTCTGATGAACACTTACTTAACTTTTCCCTATGTTACGAGTTTTTAAGTATCCCAAGGCCACATAGACAGCTGGTGCTTCCATCAGTGTAGACTTTTGCCTTTGAGTGTGTTCAGTAGCTGCTGTGGAATTGAAAGCATTTCAGATAGCAGTGAAGCACAAGTTCACGTGTGGTTAGCCTTGAAGCTTGAAAGTAGGAGGCCTTTTTGAAAAGGATCTTGATTTTTAGAAATCTGCTTAAATCAGTAGATTAGCTCAGATGCTAAGAGGATGTCAGTCCATGCTGGAAATGCCTTGCAGAATCTCAGGGGTCTCTGTAGTGCCCCAGCTGCTGCCCCCTTTGCAGTTTGGTTGTATGGCACCATTCCAGTCTGAGAGGCTGAGTTCTCCTCTTCTGGTGTTCACCTAAGTTCTCACCTTGTTGGAGAGCTGTGTGCCTCTTGCCCCAGATTTTGGGGACTCTTTAACCCTCCCAGCTGACTATACTCTGATTGTTTTTCTCACTCTGATCTTATTTCCCACAGCCAGGGGGCTGATTCTCTGACCAGAACTATGAGATAGACCTGCAGCTGGAAGTCTGGACAGAGACATGCCCTTGAGTTCTGATTCTTTCCAGGCAGACATCTAGACTTAGATCAGAATGCAGTGAGGCAGCATTTAGCATTTACAAGAGACCTGAGTTTGCCTGCTCAACTCTCCCATTTTTCCAGTGGGAAAGCTGATGAAGTTCCACACTTTGTAAACCATCTTGGCAATGCTGCAGGTACTTGTCTTCATTGGCCACGGGGTTGCATTTACCTTTTGTGTCAGCTGTCAGGAAGCACACAGAAGCTTTAGTTCTGTCACCTCAACTTTATACCTGCCAGTGTGCTCCAACAGGATATTGCTCTGTTACCACAGTCTCTTTGAAGTTGGAAAAAAGATACCACCCTAAGCTCAAACATTTGCATTAGAACAGTCTACAAAGAGCTTGAAAGCTGGTAATCTAACCACTGAAGAAGATGCAGTAAGAAAACAAGTGCTGGTGACTGTTTCAGTGACATCCTGGCTCTATTTTAGGAAATATTCTTTCACTTTAATTGTGGTTTTCTCTTTTTACTTAAAGGTTTGGATAGTTATTTATGATATGTGTTAATGTAAGACAACCATACTCTACTTATTTTCAAGGAAAAAAAATCCTTATAAGTGAAAATCACTGATTTCAGTAAATTCTATAGAAACTTAAACTTTCATTTGGTACAGTGTTTAAATGCAAACTCAGAATGTGTAGTCATCTCTAGTATTGTTTTTCAGGAATTCCCCCCCCCCCCAACCCTTAGTCAGGGTTTCTCTGTGTAGCCCTGGCTGTCCTGGAGTTCGCTTTGTAGTCTAGGCTGGCCTCAAACTCATAGAGGTCTTCCTGCCTTTGTCTCCAATGCTGGTATTAAAGGTGTGCACCACCACTGCCTGGCAAGGAACTTTGAAGGATGATCTGTTGCTCTCTCCTTCTCCATCATTCTGAAGAGGAGAATGAGCTGTAAGAACACCACACTTACTCCCCACCCTGTTTTAACTGTTACCAGATTGTTAGGATTTATGTATGGTAAGTTCAGTAAGCTGCTTGGAAGTTTTTTAATTTTGGAGAATTTTATAGTTATACTGGAGCTGGCCCAGACAGTAAAGTGCTTGTGAGGACCTGAGTTTGAATCCCCACCTAGCACCTACATAAAAAGCCAGGCATAGCGACATGTTCATGTTTCTAGTTTTATTAGTAATTGGGAAGGTGTTAATATTGGTAATCATCTTTTAAATTTAAGCATGGAACACTTCACAGATCTGTCATCCCTTGCATGTCATCCTTGCACTGACACCATTCTAATATTCTGTGTATTGTTCCAAATTTTAGTATTTGTGCTGATAAAGTGAGCACCCCACCCCCCCACACCCCAATGGTATCTTGCCAACTTGCCTAGGTTGGCCTTGAATTCCCAAATACTGGAATTGTGGGCAAACATCACTACCTTGCTTATCGATTCAAAGATGTTTAATCCTAGATGAATAGGTTGGATTGGTTCAGAGAGTACCTGTCTCAGTGCTTCTCTCAGCAAGCTTGCAGGAAACCTGCCATGTTGAACATGATGCTTGTGGTCCCATCATAGTTCTTCTGTAACACTAGGCGGGATTTACGAGACCCATATGCTCTTCAGAGCCCCGATTGAACCTTTGTAGCAGGCCAACTGAACAGGCCAACTTAGGAAGCATGGAGCCTCGCTGACTCCTCTCTGCTGTGCTGTTCCCTCGGTGAAGAGGACTGTAAGGCCTGGGCCCACAGAAACACTTGCTACTGCATTGTGGCTCCCCGTGGGTTCTTATTGTAACCAGAATGTGGTCTCCTAGAACATATGTGGAAACCAAGGGGATAATCTGTCATCTGCTTTGGTGACCTGGTGTAGCTTGTGCAGCTTGTGGTTCTTTCTGCATGCAAAAAAAAAAAAAAAAAAAAAAAAAAAAACACTAAAGCCCATAGTCAGTCTCCCAGTTCCTTTCATGATCTACAGAGACGATAAGCTGTGTGCAACCACTGAAAGCTGCAAAATACTGATTTTTACCTTTAAAGTATCCATCCTTTCCTCTCTGTGTTGACTGCTACTCTTTGAGTTTGTTCATCACTTGTTTATATGTCAAGCACATATTTAGCACCTTTTATATTGTAGGCTCTGGGAATTTGGTGCTGAGGAAGACAGCTGTGGCCTCTGCTGCCAGGGACTCTCACTTTGCCCACATTGTTTAAAGATGTACCTGCTTGTTTCCTGGCCAATTCAGCTCATCTTGTCCTTTCAAAAGCATCTCATCTCATCTCATCTCATCTCATCTCATCTCATCTCATCTCATCTCATCTCATCTCATCTCATCTCATCTCATCTCATCTCATCTCATCTCATCTCATCTCATCTCATCTCATCTCATCTCATCTCATCTCATCTCATCTCATCCATATACCTGCTTGCAGTCTGTATTCTAGAGCCAGGACTGTTCAGCCTGTAGCCTGCAAGTTGTGTGCATCCCAGAATAATTTATCATTCTGGACAAGTTACCTATTAAACACAATGTTAACAGCTTATAGTCTTATCAGGGGTCCATGAAATGTTTATATTTTATTTAAAATCACAATTAACAGCTTAAATCTAAGTATTGCAAAATGTAGCTCTTCACAGATATTTATAGAGGAAAAGAGAAGTATGTGGGGACTGTGAAAGCTGCAGTGTAGTTCTGCTTATGACATGTGTCCCACTTCCTGTTGTTTTGTATTATTGTGGGACAGAGAACTCACAGAGGGCAGAGACTAAGCCTGAGAGCCCTCTGTATCCTGTCCTGGCTCTTTTGTTTTCTGACTTTAATAGGAGCTCTTTAATTGCTTCTCAGTGACATGGTTTTCTATCACCTTATTGGCCCATTTGGGAGAGAGCCCCAGACAGAGCTGAGTCTGCAGCCTAGAAACAGCTGGGTCAGTGTAGCTGGGCCACTTTCCCACAGCTCAGAACCCATCCTGTTTTCCCAACAGGTGGCAGGCCAAAGTGGTAATGAGTCAGGCTTGGAGTGTTAGGTCACTTCGCCCCAGTGAACTTCAGTTTTCCTCATCTGCACAAGGAAACAATAAAATCTACCTAGGGTATTGCTCTTAAGATAAGGTGGCATACAGCTTTAAAGTACTCTTCACTTTCATCATGTCAGCACAGCTGATATTTTTGTATTTCTCTTTTGTGGCCATGCTCATTGTAAAAATACATCACCAATTGAATAACAGCCATCTGGGACCTAAGAAGCACTACCGTATCAGTGTTGACTGTGGGGCAGAGCTTGATTTTAGAAATGGTGGGACCAAGAATAGAAAGGTCTTGGGTTGAGGCAGGGCAGCCAAGCAGGGCTAGAGCAGTGGGGTAGCAGATAGTTGTAGGTGGCAGGTGTTCTTACCTGGGGAGGTATGCTTAGTGTCAACAGCTGTCACAAGAGCTGTCCTGTGATCACTAGGACATTATTCTCCTGACCCAGAGGATGTGTTGAAGGTACATTGTGACAGCACATTTGGAAGAGTGAGAAAGGTGTTGGCTCAGGGTGATGAAGGTTTTGGTTGCAAAGCTTGCATCTTGGATTTCCTCAGTTCAGCTTCAGCATGGGCCTGTGAGTAGACACCTCTTCCAGGCCAGCAGTCCAGGGACTCTTCTGCCACCAATGACATTATTCTTACTGTCTTTTAGGTTCTACTTTACCAACTGGCATGGAACCAATGACAATGAGCAGTCGGTATGGCGGCATTCTCCAAAAAAGCAGAAAAATGGATATGAGAAGAAAAAGATTCCAGAAGCAACCCCACTTCTTGATGCTAGTTCACTGGAGTATTTGTTTGCGCAGGTAGGAAGCTTGAGCCGGAGACCTGCAGTTTGTGGGGAGAGTGAGACCAGGTGGAGCTCACAGTCCCTGTGCACCTATACTTGGTGGCACTTTATGGCCTGTTCTGTGATATTCTTGCCTAGGTGATTGGGAAAGTCAGGTAACTGGGGAAGGTAGTATATTAACCAAAGAGCTGGCTCCCAGCTAGGGGTTTTCCAGACTATCAACTTTTCTTAGCCCTATTTTCTGCTCCTTTGCTGCCTTCAAATCAGTTCATTTATGTAACACATTATTTACTGGATGTCTGTGTCTTGTTTGCTTTATGCAGTTATGTTTGCCAAGACATTGGATATTTGGATGAAGCAACATGGTTTCTGTGTGCACCATTGAATACTTAAGCCGGATAGTAAGAAACAGTAGTTTGTAAATGATACATAGATACTGCATAAGAAATCATGAGGGCCAGGCACAGTGTCTGACCCCTGTAACTCCAGCACTTTAAAAAGACTCATAATGTGAGTTTGAGGTCAGCTTGGGCACCTCAGTGAGAATCTGTCTTAAAGGAACAGACTTTAGTGACAGATAGGAAGAACTCGAAAAGAGAGGAGGAGTGTCCTGCTTCAGGGATGACGTCATCCCTGCTTTAGAAGCTCATCTTCCTGAAGTCAGCATCTCAGCATAGAGTTCCTTGAGTTAGTTGTAAAGAGTGTTCACAGACACTTACAGGTTCTTCCTTCTCCAAGATCTCAGCTTCAGACTTTTTCTGCTCCTCAAGTATTGTTGGCATAGGTTCTTGTTCTTTTCCAAAACTTTGTGGAACTGATCAGTGACCTTTCTTTACCTGAAAGAAAAAAGTTCTATATGGACAGAGGGGTAACTGCAGCACCCCCACCCAGTCCCCAACAAAACAAAACAAAACAAAACAAAAGCATGAGACTGAAGTGCTTTCAAAGAAAGTGTCTCAGTAGAAACCACTCTCCCAGACCCATCTTTGTCCAGGCAGAGTAGCTGGGACATCCACCTCCTTGGAGTGGGAATACCTAGCAGAGAGTTGGTGTGGCTGCTGCAGTGTTAAGGAACGGTGCCCTGGAGTCATGGTCAGGGTTAGCTCAGCCCCCAGTTCCCATGCTATTCTTCTATTTGAATTTCCTTTTTTGAATCATCTAACATTAGTGATTCCTATTTTCCATCTTCAGAATGGATCCTCCATGAGGTCAGAAATATGGCTTCTCTATTGCTAAGTCTCAGTGCCTAGGAGAATGCCTTGCTTGTTACTCGATTCCTTCCCTATCAGGGAAGGCTGTTGTGAGGATAAAGGTGAGGTAAAGTAGTGGCTCACATGTCTGGCAGGGAGGTTAGTGTTAGTGAGTGTGAGCCTATACTGGCTTATTGCTCTGAACAAAGTTAGTTGTGGGTACTGGTTTTTAGTCTTGTTTTATATTTTGTTTTTAAAGTCCCCGTTGGCTTGTGGAAACCTTCTCCCATCTGTGAGATAGAATATTGAGATAGAATATTCTGGTGACATTTTTCTCTATTGAAAATGTGAATAACATATGGAACAGACTGATGGTTTGTGATAATGATACACTGTGGAATGTGACTCCTTACCCTTTCCCCAAACCCACATCTGAAAGGGAGCTGGTGTCCTGCCAACTCCAGACACACAACCCCTATTCTAGGCTGGATGATACATGTTTTTGAAATTAATGCTATCCACCAGTGCCATTTGTCTTGTTCTGGTGCAGTTCAGACACTGTGTATAGGCGTTGATTAAGTATTAAGCCCCATGATGGGACTTTGTGAATTTGTGCTCTTCACCAGCACCTTGACAAGTACTCAGTAAACACTCACTAAATGAATGAATGAAGTGATCTAGAGAGAACATACTCTTTCTTCACTGCTTTGTACCCTGTTTTAGTGCAAACCACCTTGATATTGGAAACATACTGATTTCTTTCCTTGCTGGGTGCTGTTTTGACCATCTTGATCCTTTCAAGATCAACATGAGTGGCTCCTGAAGCTTAGATGGTGGCTCATTTTTTTCTCTTCTCTGTTCCCAAGGGACAGTATGATTTGATCAAATGCCTGGCTCCCATCCGGGACCCCAAGACAGAGCAGGATGGACATGACATTGAGAATGAGTGCCTGGGGATGGCCGTTCTGGCCATCTCACACTATGCCATGATGAAGAAAATGCAGTTGCCAGAACTTCCCAAAGACATCAGGTAAGCCTCCTGCTAGCCTGAGTGGCTAGTGGGGATGTGTTGCTGATTTGGGATGTTAATTTTGAAGCAGGGTTTTGCTTTATGTAGTCCAGGCTGGCCTGAAACTCATGATTTTCCAACCTTAGCCTCCCAAGCACTGATATTACAGGCATGTTCCACCTCATCAAGCTGTAATATTATTTTACATTTGTTCATACTTTTTGTTTAACTGCTGCAATGTTTTTCTGACCTCTCTCTGCATGATTCAAATCTTTATCTGTACAAAGTAGCATCTTAAAATTGGGGCCTGTTTTTTTTTTTTGTTTGTTTGTGTGTT